AACACACAGCTGTCTTGTATACCAGCTGCTGGAGTTGCAGTACAGCAGGAGAAACAAATTTCCCTTAGCCAAACAGCTTCCCTCCCTACCGAAGAAAGGCACTGATGTGATGGCAGGAGTCCCGCATGGGAAGTATAATCACAGCTGATCTGGTTATGCTGCCAGGGTGACTTCTGAGTTGTACATCTGTGGATGCTTGCAGGTGGCACTAGGGCACTCCACCCCCCCCTTCCCCCCCCTACCATTCGATCCAATTCCAAGGGAAAATCTGGTGGAGACAGGAAACTTAGGAGTCTCATAATGCAGGCAGTCACTGTACCAACCCATCAAAGCAACTCCCACCCCCCTCCTGCACTTGCAGCTCCATCCCAGTCCCAGCCAGCAGATCCCCTCACCCCAACCTTTGAAAGTAAAATCACCACCACACTGACCCCCACATCCTTCAAGTCTATTCAAAGCAAAGGCTGGTGACAGAAAGCCAAGAGCAGCATGTGGCAGTACTCTTCTCAGGAAGCTGGGGCAGTAGGGGAACTTTTCAGGTCATGAAGGGTTGAGCATTGCATTAATAGTGGAGGCAACTGCAAACTTGTCTGTAGGTGTCAGCTCACTGTAGTGTAGTACGTGAGCCTGACTCGCATCTAATAGCAACCTGGGCTTCCCCTCCATGCCTTTAAAGGAGATGATTACCTTCCATGGACCTCCTGAGGGACCAACCCATGTGGGCATTGTCCTGCTGCATTGCCTTGCTGTCAGTGCTGGAGATCTCCTCAGCTACAGCATCCCTCAGTCCCCCAGGCCATACTTTCTTACTCCCCAGGGGTGGAGGCAGGCAGCAGAAGCTGGAGGAGTAAGGCAGAGCATGAAGGCTCTGGCAGCAGCAGTAGGAAAGCGATGTGAGGGATGGAGGGGTGATAGTGCCTGGATCAGGAGGCCAGGGGCCACATGTAACCCATGGGCTGCCAGGCAGACAGCACTGAGCTACACTATACTAAGATCACTTATATGCCCCATATAATCTTTGCAAACCCACTATCTTTTTTTTTCTGGTCGTTCATCTCATCTAGCTTCTAATCAGTTTTGAACTGAATATTAATTGATAAGATCCAGCATATTTATGATGTGACTCTAATATTTAATCCCAGGTCAATGGGTATAAATTGTCATCACCCTATTGAAGAAAAAGAGTCAGAGAAAAGGATCTGAATTGGGAAGTCAAAAAATCTGTACAGCTGTATATGTCCCATAACATTCTTCTCCCATACAAGAACAGATACAAGAACAGATCAAGTTTTTAATATTTTATTAAGGCTGTATGTAAGCAGTCAAACATAATTTAATAAATTAGTGTCATATTGAAGAAAATAACAATATTAATCTATTTGCTACAAATATGATTTTAAGCAAACCACTGAAAGAAAATACAAAAGTTCTCATATAAAAAAACAGTAAAATATGAAGGTATTCTTGAAAAAAGAAACTTTTTTTAAAAATAATCATTTACAGTTCACAATCCAGCTTAACTTTAAAAATAAATAATACATCAAAATTAAAATAACTGATATTAAGCAGATGATTAATATTGCTTTGTAAGCAATGCCACATTATGGTGCTATATAATGAATGCTACATTTTTAAAATAAGCCATTAAAATTAGTGGCTAAAAATTATGCACCTTTATTATAATCCAGGTTCTAAAAATTGAACAATAAGTACAATTCTGATAAAAGGCTCTTCATAAATTTTAAATATGAAATTTCACTGAGTGCTTATTGCTGCATATTTATTTAGTTTCATAGTTTCTAGGGCCCGAAGGGACCAATAATTTATTTATTTAATTGCCTGAATGAGGTATGAGGTTTGTACTTGATCCTCTTTCAAAGCTGGAACTTCTGAATCAGAAATCTCTTGGTGGGATCTCTGAACCTGCTCTGTTGTGTTGCTAGACTGATTCTCAGTCTCTCCACTGTAGTTCTCAGACTCTTCTGAAATGACAGTTAACTTGTCATAAGAGTGATCCTCTTCTGGAAGTTGTGGTGCAAAAAACTGTGAACTGTAGGAAGGCTTGCTCAAAAACTGCAGCAAAAATAAGAAGCAAGAAATAAGAACCAAGCTACACCTATCCTTCCTACATGTTCCAAGCATCAGTTGGTTTTCTTGAACTCTATGACAAATCTATTGTCTCGTGAGACAGACAGATGCCTACTATGGTTTGAAAGATCACAGGTTGGTGACTCCCTGCAACTACTTTAGATATATCATTTGAACACATTTACTTTAACATGTTATTCAACATGTATCATACAATCAGGCCTTCAACATAGCCTAATCAGACCTTTTTTAATCTTGTGATTTGTGCTCAAAATGCTCACCCCAGAAACCATGGAAAGTCTAATGCACTTACAAAATTGTATTTCAATACTAACAAGTATAAAATAATTATTACTGCTTGTAAGATGACCCAGTTCTAAATTCTTTTGCAAAGGAAATCATTTGTAAAAGAAATAGTTATTCTAAATTACAGTAAAAGCTGTGTTAACCGGCACTTCATTAGCCAGAAAACTCTATTAATTGGCATCCAAGCGATGCGGCAGAAGTGAAACTGGAAGTACCACTTCTGGGGGACTTCCTGTTTTGCCGCCACGAGTTGAGTTTTTCTTCACCACTTTTTTGGTCCACAGCCCAGGGCAAAGCAGCCTGTGCAGGAAAAAACAGCCTGCGCAGGGCCCTCTCCCCATCCCCTGGCACACTGATGCCGGGGAGTGCACCAGACGGTGCACGTTTGATTAACTGGAATATTTGATTAACCAGCATCCCCCATTCCCGGGGCATGTCAGATAATAGAGCTTTTACTGTATTAGGATTAGTAAGGAATTCTATGAAAGAGTTTCCTTTATGCTGTTTTTTACATTTGGGAGAACTAAAAAATGACACTGAAGGTTAAGAAAAAGAAAGCTTTTTGTCCCTATAAGAAGCGTTGCTGGATTTTCAAGCATGGGTTCATCTGACTTTTACTTATCTTGCTTTATTGGCCTCTCCAACTGTTGCTTGATCAGTTTTTTAGAATAAATACCTTCTTGAGCACCACTACTCATACCTCCAACTTGTGGGCTGCGTTTGGCCCATAAAGCCATGTCATCCAGCCCACATGACACCCTACAGGTCTAGAACTTTGGTGGCAGGGGAGCGGTAGCAGCATTATTTGCTCCCCGAACTGGGAACAATTTTTTTTAAAATGGGGTTGCGTGATACCACCCTGCATTCTCCCAGTTTTAGAACGCTTCCTGTTATGCTGGAATTCTGTAGGAAAGAATATCAAACATCTAATGGATCTTCTCTCCATAAAATGTTTATGTAACTTCCTTTGATTTTACAGGACATTGTATATGTATTGAGGAGAGAAAAGATCACCTAAAATGGGATTCAGGTATTTCTTCTAAGTATTTATATAGGTTCTATACACAGTGATTGCACTGAGAATGAGCATTTTCAATCTGCCAAGGGATGGAACCCTGCCTTCACATTGAAAAACATATGCCAGGGGAATCTGCTTTTGAAACACAGGTCCAAAAAGGGCTAGATATGTTTTTCCTGAGCAGAAAATGAAGATGACATATGATCACAAACTCTTTTAAACCAGTCTTAGTTAAGTATTAAATGTACATATTTTTCTGTTCTAGTATGGAGAGACTTTGATTTTTCCTCAGCTATAATACCAAACTAACCACTAAAGGACATATTCAGGATAAAATTTAAATGCCAGACATGGCTTCTATTTTGTACTGTTTAACAGTCTTCACTTTAATTTCATTAGCAGTGGGAAGAACACAAAACAAAAACATCCATTTTCTAAGCCAAACAGGTAAAATTTGTTTTACATGTTAAACCATAGCTGCCTGTGCAAAGGCCTTGAATACACGTCCATTTGCAGGGCTACAAAGTACAGAGACACTTTGTAACACTAGAAAAAACAAAGCACAGTTGGAGCATGTGAACATGCACAGTCCCCGAGTTAGAGCATTATATTGGACTCAAAGGCACACTCTCTAGACAGGAAAAAATGGGGGAAGGGAGAGGAAGTTATTCCTTTTCTCCCCTCGGCCCTGGGGAGCCTATCAGTGAGCTGGATCACTGGCATCCTGCCATTTCCCCTGCTGCCTATCAGTGATCAGTTGGCAACTGTCACCTGGAACAGCATCTGCCAAAGACAGCCCTCCTTCCCCCCTGCCCTGCCACCTGCTTGGAAGGTGCACAGGTGGAAGTGAGCAGAGGTGGAATTGAGCAGGGCAAGGACAGCAACTTCCCTTACCATCTCCCCCTGCCACCAGTCGCCTCTGGGGTCATGAGAAAAGCTGGTCTCCTGGCCCACAGCCCCTACCACCTACTCTCAGGGCATTGGTGGTCAAGCACTCTTCTTATGGTGGTGGCAGCAGGGTCCCAGCAGGGTTCTGTGACAACTTGCCGTGGCTGGGCGAGTGTCAGGGAGGCAGTCATTCTCCTTCCCTCCCCTTTGGGTGCAGGTGGTCTGGGAGACCATAGCACTACATGCACCTGTCCACATGTTCCATGTAATGCTACAAAACATGGCACTATAGAGAAGATCTGTTTTGAAAGAGGAAAATTTGTGGTGGATCCACCATTTCTGTGGTGCTACAGGTGGTTTGCAGGTGTGGACACTCACTTTTTGTAACACTCATAGTGCTACACATGTAACATGCCCAAGGCCTAATAAACTACCAAACACCTGGATGATTCATATAGCAGTTTGCTCAGGACATACTAGATAAAGAAGACTGAACTGACCATTTACATCCAACTTAATCACTACACAAACCAATTAAATTGCTGGTCTATTTAGTCTAAAGTCTTTAGCAGCAGAATACACTCATCATTACTGTAAATGTTTGCTGTTGTGGAGTGGCAAGCATGCCCACAAGCAGTTTATCACAAGTGAGATAAAGCTGACTGACACAACAGCTAAGACTCATCTATTATTTTGAAACATATATAATAGACTTATATTCTTTTAGCTTGGGCACCTAATAATTTCCAGGATCACATATGCCAGTATTATTCATTAGGTTTAACACTTAGCTAATAGTCCAGGTACATGAGTAAGAGTGAGAAAGTTCATTAAGTTAAGTAGAAAACCTGCAAAGCTTTCTGGGGTCTCTGACAGGCAAAAGACTCTTGAAAAGCTCATTTTTTTATATTTAATATTTTATACAGAATGACAATGGACAAACCTCTTTCAAATGTTGTGGGAAAGAATAAGAAGGATAGAACATGCATCTGGTCTGTCGATATATACATAAAAAGGAAAAGAAACAAGCAGGAACGGATACTAGAACAACCAACATGGATATCAGAAGAACAGCAACAACCATCCACACTGGTGTTATACCTGCAAGAGACAGGAACATAAATTCTTCAATACTTGATAATTCAGTTTTGAATATACAGCTTTCAAAATTTCATTCTCATTACTGAGTAAAGGATATTCCTAACCTCACTTTGTCATATTTACAACACCTTTGGTGCATGAAGAAATAAAGTATTTTGTTCCCAAATGGAAAAAGTCTCAATTTTGAAGTTTTTCTTTGAATCAAGTCAGAAGGTTCTTACTTCCTAGAGCACGGGTGGGCAAGATACAGCCCACGAGGCCATTTTATCTGGCCTGTGGGACCCCTAAAACATTTAGACAATTAATATTTATCTGTCTTTGGTTCCGGTCAAAAATGGACCCAGTAGGACCCAGGGGAAGCTCAGCGGGCTCCTACAACAGCCAGGCCCGTCTGGCCCCGCCCCCCAGCTGGAAGCCTCTGTCGGGGCTTCTGGCCTTGGACCACGTGGCTGCACTGCACTGGAAACTCAGGTAAGGGGGTGGGGGAAGGGCTGGGGAGGACCGCAGGCAGGGAAGGAGCCTAGGGAAAAGTGGCCCCTCCCCCACCCCGTGGCCGGTGCTCCCTGCTGCAGCCGCTCACAGCCTAAGCCGAGCAGTGTTTGCTGCTGCTGCCCGCCTGGAGCTAGCGCACTGGGCAGCCCAGAGGTAGTGGTGGCAAACACTGCCTGGCGTGGCAAGTGGGGGGGGCCGCAGCTGCTGCCGCCACGGTGCAGCCCTGATGAGTGAGCCCAAAACTGGTGCAAGGCCCAGGCTGGCTGTGGGGGTGGGTTACAAGCTGGTGCTGAGCACAGGGAAAAGCAGCCACTCGCAGTCTGTGTGGGGCTGCTTGTATCTGCTCAGGACAGCCCTGCACAGGCTGCGAGCAGCTGCAGCAGGGAGCACCAGCCAAGGGGTGGGGGAGGGGCTGCTTTTCCCCCATGCTCAGCACCAGCTTACTCCCTGCCAGGGAGCAGGGTATCAGGGCTGCAAGCTGCCCCCTGCCTGTACTGTGGGGCTGGGGGGCACTGCGAGTGAGCGGGTGCACGGGGCCCACACTGGTGTCCCAGGGCCAGCGCCAGCGGGGCCCAGAGCAGGGCGGCAGGAGTACAGGTCCTGGCTGGCAGGGGCTCTGTGGCGCCAGGTCAGCTCCCCCCTCTCCCTGCTGGTGGAGTCCAACCTGGCTCCACAGACCCCTGCCAGCTTGCGCCCCACTATGGGCCCCACCAGTGCTGGCCCTGAGACATTGGGACATTGGTCCCAAGATGGTGATCGGGGGTCAAGAGGAGGGGCTACCCATGCAGCCCTCGACAGCCTGCCAAATCTGGGTAAATGGTCCTCAGCCCAAAATAATTGCCTGCCCCTGTCCTAGAGTGAGCCTACACCAGGGTGGGCAATTATTTTGGGTGGAGGACCACTTACTGAGCTGTGGCAAGCTGTCAAGGGCCACATGGGTAGCCCTGCCCCTTGACAGGTGCCCTGCCCCCTGGTCGGCATCTTGTGACCAGAAGTCCCACCCCCTAACCCCTGAACTTTGCCACCAGAAGTCCCTCCCATTGCCCCCAGAAATACTCCTTTCAGCAAGGGGTTTTGCCATCTAAGAACCAGAAAAATACCAAATTAAATTCTATAAAGTGATCATCTACAACATTCACTAATTTGATTTCAAAAAATATTTTTGTCCTAATTTACATGTGTTTGAGTAGTGTACGCAGTGGTGACTGCACAATAGTTTATAATGAAGTCTTATTCTTGTATATTGTGGGGGGTGGGTACGGGTTTGTGGGGGCAGTGGGTATGTGGGCATGGGGGGGACAGTGGCTGGGGTTTGTATATGGCACTGCATGGGGAGGCATAGGTTTATGTGTACGGAGGGGTGTGCACGTGGGACTCATCCTATGAACACATACACACACACTGCCCCTGTGCCCACACACACACACACACACACTCTGCCCCTGTGCCTGCAGATATGCACACACACACACATACACCCCTACCAGCGTGGTCCCATGCTCATCGTCCCATGCTCAGGGGGTCGGAGGATACAACCAGGAGCTGGAGCTGGGCTGGGGCAGGAAAGCAGAGAGGTGGCTGGGGGGTGGGTGGGGCTGGGCTGCTCAAGCCTGCTGAGGGCTCCCTCTGGGTCCTACTGTCCCTACTCCAGCCAGGTTTGACATGGAGCCAGGGCAAATAAACATACATTTACTACATTTTTCAGTGGTTCTGCAGGCCAGATAGAATGGTCTGGTGGGCCAGATGTGGCCCACGAGCTGGATTTTGTCTACCTCTGGCCTACAACCATTGTACTGACACATTTAAAGCAAGCAAAACAGTGAATTGTTAGGGGGAAAAAGAGAGCGATGACAAATAAAGATCTGTACACATATTCCAGGGCACTTCCAGGGAGGTTCAGTCTTTCAGGAGACACTATGTTTTAACATCAATGCTAAATATGACTACAAGATCACATCTGTTTCTTTCTGAAGGAATATTGGTTAAAAAATGGCAACTAATTGGGAAGTAGCAGTGATTATAAATTCCTAAACTTCTGGATTATGCGAGTCTTTAAGAGACTCATTTCATGCACTGGGACTTCACAAAATGTGCCAGAACTAAAGACTGATCAAGATTTCACTAAATGTTTTAAAGCAGAGGTGTTAAAAATAGGGCCTGTAGGCTAGATCCAGCCCATGGAGCCATGTCATTAGGCTTTTGGAGGGGCTAGGAATTCGGGGGTGGGGCCCACCATGAAAATCTGGGGTATGGAGCTCCATTAGGGATGCATGCCAGTGCTGGTGTGTCAGGGAGGAAGCGATTGATGGCTGTGCTAACCCCATGATTCCCTGCTGCTGCCACAACTGAATCCAGACAAAGGGCCTGGGTGAGTTTGACACTTCTATTTTAAAGCAACCTACAGTTCCTTCACACCTGTTTATTAATCAGTCTAGGGATACAGTCTTCCTTTCTAAACAAAAATACAATGTTCCCTGTTCAGACAAGTGTGCCTGTCTGTGACCGTGGCTATAGCCATATCATAGGTAGCTTTCAAGGTGACACGGCTGGAATTTGGAGCAACTATCCGAATATACATTACGAGGTTACAGCTACAAAACTTAAAAGGCTGAAGTCCTACTTTAGTTGGTCTAATAAAAGATACTGGATTTACCCAAAGAACCTTGTCTGCCAGCCTTGCTTAGGCATAGAAGATGGTAAACTGGATAACTCCAGATGATGGATGTTTACTACTAGTTTCAGAAAAGATATATACATATAAATAAAGCAGTCGCTTATATCCTGCTTGAAAACATTAACAAAATGGATCTTCTTGCCTGGCTTAACATAACATAATGATTGTAAATGTGATGAAAGGAAAAGCAAGCACAGCAGAACTCTATCCTATTTTATGAATGTTACTCCAACAATATTCTGCTACAAAACAGTTAAAGAAGCAGATGTTGTAAGAGAATATTAACATGTATCATATCTGATTAGGATGTTTGTAATGTACATATACAACATATATTACCATTTTCAGTTGTCTTTTCACATGACACTTGACTAAATTCTCCTACTTTATTCCATTCAGGGACAACGGCTTGAACTTGAAGACAATATACTGTCCAAGGGTCCAAGTCTAATAATGATACTGAGTTATGTGTAGAATTCACAGTTATCACCTAATATAACAAAAGAAAACAAAAAACTTCAGAGGCATTGTTCCAATGATTGACATGCTCGATTACTAGTTTACAAATGACACTACATCTACTGGCCTGATTTTCAGCATTTGTATTTATGCTATTAGATTTATAAAAAGTATCAAAAAGAAGGCTAATTCCTGAAAGTTAAAAGTTTCAAGTTAAAATAAAAGTTGTCAAAACAGAATTTGTAGTCTTAATTACTCATTCTCCTTGCCAGTTTGCTAGTGAATGGAAGTTGTGACAATAAGAAGTTACCGATTCTACAATATTTAGAGATCTTATTTTTGTTGTAATGCTGCAGCAATGCTACATTTCAGAACACCATCAACAGCACTGTACTTAGAAAGGCAAATTCAAAATTACTGATAGAAGGTTTATATATAAATATGATATTTATAAATATTACCTTTTGGGCATTGCCTTTCTTCCAGTATTGCACCCTGTAAAGCCAAGAGCCATAATACTGTTGTAAAGTCCAGTTTTCATGACTATTTTCAGAAGCAGGGCCTGTGAACTCTACAGTCAAATATCCAGATTCAGATCTCACTTTTACATCAGGTGGTCCAATGACTGCTAAATATTAGAAGAGGAGAGGGGATAAAAAGGACAAAAAAATGAATCCGTCACATGCACTGTTCCGACATTTTTACATATCCTACAGCACTATATGTAATCATTACTATAGATTTGAAGAAAATTATTTTCTCTCAAATAATCAGGGATAAATAAAATCTTCATGTTTAGATCTGTCATAAAACAAATTTCCTTTTGCTTTAATATAAAAGACATGTTTGCTTCCTGTGCATCCTCCATTCACTGAAGTCAATCAACATTTATCCAGCCTGATGCTGTCAGCATCGGGAGTCATGGCAATATTAAAACACATATTTCTACAATATTAGTCTATTTATTGGCAGTGTTTCCTCTTCTAAACTAAACCCTTTGTGACATCCAACTTTTCCAAGGATGCTTTCTGGTAAAGCGTGTCAGTTGTCCTCGTTGTTATGATGGCTTATAGAAACTATAGCATTTGAATTGTTTCTTAATTATTATTTTTATGTAGAATACTATTAAAGTTCTACATTTTGAAACTGGCTATTTTGACTACATGCTGTGCCACTATGTAAACTCTTTTACTGAGTATTTATTCCTCAACTAGACTGTGCCTATAATGAACTAGCTAGCATTAATAATAGCATTATTGTATACCACAAGCCAGTGCTTTTACCAGCTTCTCATATAAATAATTTCTCAGGGTGTAAAGCAGCCAAGGACAATCAATAGCAGCATTCCTATTATTGCTTCCTTAAGTAAAGCTATGCTACAACTACAGTAACAGCAGAAGATATTTAGTAAGAAAGAGCTTAAAGAATACAAGGCTCTGCACTTTTCCTGAAATGCTTTGACACATGCTAATTAGCACACCCTTGGAACAGACTTAATTAACTGAGTCTGTTGGAGTGTGCGGATCAGCACACTTCAGCAGCCTGTGTCACATGTATTCAGTGTCTCTGTGCTTCAAAATAGCAGCGGGGGTGCTGTAACTAAACCCTGCCATCATTTTTAAGTGCGGGTGGTGAATACACGAGATGCTGCAGGCACTTTAATTACAGCGACTCCTGAGAGCCATTCTAATTAAAACATTCCCCTCACACCCACCTCACAGCATGTGTAAAGAAGCCAAAAAGTTCTGGCTGTTGGATCCTCGTCTACACTATGGCTCTAGCTGGCTTTAAGTAGATGCAATGCTTTAAAAAACATTTCATATTGTAGAGGAGGCTGTAGTGACTCTGATGCTCTTAGGGTTCACCTACCCCTTTAGGGTTTGTAATTCCCTAATAACTGCTGTTCTGATGATGGTAGCAGTGATGGAAGCTGTAGAATAGATGAGACTGCTGTACCATTTAGTTTTGCTCAGTGCTGCTGTAGATGACAGTGGTAAAAATCCTGGAGCTGTATCTACAAAAGGATTCTGCAGTGCTCACAGGTCTTCCTTGTTAAATAGTTTTATACAGGGATGTATCAGTTCAAATGTAAGCTGATTTTGGCAGGTCGGTCTTGGTTACAAGCCAATTCTTTCCTTTAAATGTACATCAAAGTCCTTTTCCCAACAGAATCCTTTATACAACTCTTATCAATCGTTTGCAGGTTCATTCCAGGATGTGGAGGTTCACACAAAGTGCTAGTGTTATTATTGGCTTGACTACACTCCTGCAGAATTTGTTAAATATTTTCATTATAGTTCAGCCGCTTGTTCTAGCCTGTTTAAAGCTGCTTGAATTTAAATATTGGAAAAAAGACATTTCCTGGTTCTCTAGTGTTTTCTTCCCTGCTACCCAACTACCTTAACTATTAGCTTTGCAAAAATGTACACAGCTAAACTTTCCCCTAACATCAGTATTCACTTTCAGAGTTTCTCAGGGTAACTGGCCACGTGTCTTTTGTCTTGCAATGAGAATTTTTTTCGATGAATTCTTTAACTTCATTATTTCCTTTTTAAGTACTTCAAGAGTTAGCGTGGGCATGGGAGAGAATTACAAAGAGATGTGCAGGGGAACTGAAGGAAGAGAAAAATCTGCACGTTTGGAATTTAATATAGAAAAATTATGTCAACACGATCCTGAAAAAAATCAGAAATGCACTGGAGAATGGCAGCTGGAAGTTGGAAACTTAGATACCTGATACATGTTACAAAAGTTACACAATTGACTAGTTAATCATCAGTAGATTTAGATTGGTCACATGTGCAAAGTAAGACAGGCCAAAAATGCAAAGTAATTACCACAAAATTAACTGGTTAACTGCACAATAAATTTAGACCAGCTACATGTGAAAAGTAATTATCACACCATAAAAATGATTATCAAGCTACAAAGAGAGTCAATCAACTACATTTCTTTGGCAGTCCTTCCCAGTCCAGGATGATTGTCTTCCATAATTGTCTTATCCATGTCTTATCCATTCAGAGATGGCTGATGAGGCCGATCTGGGACTGACAGACTCTGCTGCAACTCAGGCAAGTGTTTCTGTGTAGGGTGAGTGGCTCTAGATTCTTGATTTGGTCCACGACACACTGTTTTTGCCACTTCCACTTTTCCATCTCCTGTTGTCATCATAAGGTTTCAAAGTACTGAGATCCTTGCAGCAGACTCTTCCTCCATTTGGGGCAGTCCTGGGTGATAGTCTCCCATGAGTTGACATCAGTGTTGCATTTGGCTTTGAGGACGTCCTTGAAATGTTTTTTCTGCCCTCATTGAATGTACGCCTTGATTGAGCTGGGAGCATAAAACTTGCTCTGGGAGTCTGGAGTCAGATATCTGGATGACATGGCCAGCCCAGCAAAGCTGATGTCAGATCACTGCCTTAATGCTTGTAGTGTTTGCTTGTGAGAGGATGCTAATGTTGATGCATCTATCCCACAACTGGATTCGAAGGATCTTCTGTCAGCAGTGTTGATGGTATTTCTTGAATGACCTATTGTGTCTCCTGTACGTTGTCCATGTCTCAGCTCTGTATGGTAAGGTGGGGATCACAACTGCTTGATAAGCCATGAGCTCAGTTTCGGATCTGATGTTGGGATCTTAGAACACCCATTTCCTCAGGTGTCCAAAGGCTGCACTTGCACATTTGAGGCAATGTTGATTTCTTTGTTGATGTCAGCCTTCTGCGAGATATGGTTTCTGAGGTACAGGAAATACTCAGCATTCTCCAGAGTATCACCATGTATCTAAATTACTGGAGCTGGAGACTGCTCATTAAGAGCTTGTTGATGGAGGACGTTAGTCTTCTGAATGTTAAGCGTCAGTCCCATTATTTTGCATGCCTCAATAAAGTCGCTGACTACCTGAAAGCCTACTTCCACATGAGCACGGACTACAGTATCATCAGTGTACTGAAGCTCAGTTACTGAGGTTGGGGTGGCCTTGGAGTCGGCTGAGATTAAATAGCTTACTGTCCATCTGGAAGTTTAGCTCCACTCCAACTCGAAGCTTATTAGCGGTCAGATGTAGTATCCCAGTAAGGAATATTGAGAAGAGTGTGGGAGCAATAACGCAGTCTTGCTTACCTCCCATATTAACCTCAAGCAGATCTGTGATAGATCTGAGAACCACTGCTTGCATACTGCCATGGAACAGGCAAAGAATGCGCACCAAAATTTATCACTATCCTTCAGAAGGATCCTCCACAGTACTTCTTAGTTGACAGGAGTCAAACTAAGAAGTGCTGTGAGGTCAAAAAGGACCTCAGCTTTCATGAGGTCACCAAGGACATAGAGATGTTGTTTCTAGTATTTTTCCTGCAGTTGGTGAGCTGCAAAGGTCATGTCAGTTGTGCCTATTCATGCCCTAAAACCACACTGAGATTCCAGGAGCTCTTCAGCAAGTGAAAGGAGAATGTTTAGGAAGGTTTTCATGAGGTGATCCTTCTGTAGTTTCCACAGTCAGACTTGTCTCCTTTTTTGAAGATTCCCACAACCATGGCATCCCTGAGGTCATCTGGGGTTTCCTCATTATTTCAAATCCTTAAGATAAGGGAACGGAGATGTGATAGGAGCTCTTCTTCCCCCTGCTTCAAGATTTTGGTGGGGATTCCATCAGTTCCTTGTTGCTCCTCATCTGCTGGCTGGCTTTCCTCACCTTGTCAAGGGTTGGAGGGATTCTGAGATCGTCTCTTATTGGGTGTTGCAGAATGGAGTTGAGAACACCTTTGTCAACAACAGAGTCTTGAATGAGAACGTTTTCAAAATGCTCCTTCCAACTGGTGTTGATGGCTTCCCTTTCCTTGATTAGGACTCCTTCATTCTTTGGTCTCAAGGGGGTTCATCCCCAAGTGTTTGGACTGTAGATGGCTTTGGTGGTATTGAAAAAACTGAACATACCATGGATCAATGTTCCCCCTAAGGAGTAGCGGTCTGTGAGTGTGCCGCTTTGGTTCATTCCCGAATTGGTTCTGCCTCCCTCTTTTGGTGCGGTCCACCGGTAAGTGTGCCGCAGTAAGTGTCCAGGTGGGAGCAGGCAGGGTTTGGCCCCATGTGGAGCACTGTGGGCCCCACCCACCATCCTTCTCCATGCTAACTGATGTCCAGAGCAGCAGAGCAAGGGCAGGAGGAGGAGCTGCTGGAGACAGGAGGAGCCAAGCAGTACCTGGGCAGCAGTAGCCCCGTCGGGAAGCTGTGTATGCTGGCCAAGCCCGGTGAAAGTGTAGCACAGGCTGCCCCAGTCCCTTCCGACTAACACTGAAATTGCCAAAAAGAATAAGTCCATCTCCCTCCAGAATGTCAGAAAGGACTTGGTCAAGGTTGGCACAGGATTCCTCCTTGGTTTCATCAGCAGCGTCAAGAGTCAGGGCAGATGCGCTGATGACAGTGGCATATCAGCTCCTCAGCCAGTTTAAGACAGAGAGTTACAAGGCGTGTAATTATCACATCATAAAAATGACTGTCGAGCTAAAAAAGAGCCAATCAGCTACAAAGTCAGTACTTGAAAATGTGTAACAATTCTATGGCTGGTTTCTATCCAGCTTTAATCTGAACATGTAGCAGGGCCTTTACACTCTGACTCTAAGTAAGTAAGTGAAAGCAAGCCAAATCAGAGAAGAATGGAAAACTCAGAACTAACTCTAAGACCAGAGAAATTAAGGAGGTGGTTTTTCACTGGCAGCTATGCAGAGGAACAGCTCCTTGGTCTGGAATAACTGATGCTTGTTAATGGATGGAATATGAGTAAGGATGCACAAAGTGAAAGAGATTATTGACAAGATCTCTCCCCTCCAAACTCAGTTGACAGGTAGGCCAATATCTCTGTCATTGTACTGAATTGTACTGTCATCATCTGTCGATGCCATGATTCACACCATGCTTCCTATGAAAGTGCAAAGCTCACTTAATTAGTGAAGACAGTGTACATTCAAAATTATTTTCAAAAAAAAAGTTTCATCCTCCCCAAAAGTTGTTGATGCTTTTCTGTATTAGTTTTTTTGCCTGACAACAATAAGTAACTGAGCTGATTTAATCTTTAATCTCTTAAGTAAGAATCTTTGGAGGAAAGTCCTCTTCCTCTGATCTTTATATTGTATTTGTTCAGGGGAAGGAAGCATCCTGGTTAAAAATATCTTAAAATTGGTATCAAAGTAAAAGAATGGAGTCAATCCTGAGCTAGATAAAACAGTAGTCTTACTATATTTTGTCATCCCTAAGCAGAGAGAGGTAGTTAGCTATGTAAAAGCGGGACACTCAACCTCCAGCCTGTGGGACAAATGAGGCTCACAAAGCTATTACATCTGACCTGTGGAGCTCCCTGTGGATTAGGAAGTTTGGCAGTAGGGAATTAAAACCACCACCCTCCCCCACTGCCGAATTCCCATGCTTCCTCCCCACACAGCTAGACTGGAACTGAAATGGGCTGGGCCACACTCCTTTTCGCCATGTGGCTGGATTGGGGCAAGGCCAGGCCCCCTTCTCCTGCATGGCTGAATCGGAGTCAGGTGGCCCCCTGCCTCCTTTGCATGGCTGGATGGGGCCTGTAGTGCCAGCCCCATTGCAGGATCAGGGCCACTGGCTGGATCCAGCCCGTGGAGGAGCTGGATCCAGCCATGCCAGGGAAAAATGCGCACCACTGGTGTAAAGTCAAGCAGAAAGCATGGTAGATTTGCACCCTATAAAGTAACTAAATCACAGTATCTGACGAAGTGAGCTTGGGCTCATGAAATCTTATGCTATATCTCTCTGATTTAGTTAGTCTAAGGTACAAATCTATCCTGCCTTCCTGCTGTGTTTTGATGGCCATTTCTTTCCACCAAAAATTTATTCCAACTAGCATACAAATGTTTCATAATTTACTTAAAATAATGTGTTTTTTCAGTTGAATTATATTTTTATTTGATTGCTATCAGAGTTCACCAACAGCGGACAAAATATATCCAATGGGGATGGGAAGTAAGGAAAGGGAGGCTTACTGTCCTCCATTGGGTTGAAGATGATGTCAGCCAAGCCCAACAGTTCATTCTCTGACTCCACCATGACTCGAATGGTGAAGTTTCCATATATGGAAAGAAAGGAGATGTCACACTCTGTAGTATCAATGCTTGTGCACAGGTTTTCAAATGTGCTCTTGTAGAGGCTAAGGCACAGAAGACAAAAGAACTGCATCTGAATTATGATTTAGAAATTAGAAAATATCCTTCATAACAGTGAAGTAAATAGCAATGCTAATTTATTAACAAAAGTAGTTGCGACTAAGAGGCAAAAATTATTAGCTGAATAATAGGCGAACAATGATTTGCAGTAAGTATACACAGGCTTGTGTTACCTTCCATACGTCTATTAATATGGACTTCTATTAAAATGGTTTATTATTGCTTTGGAATAAATGTAGAAACTAAAGTTCCCATTCAGAAAGTGTCCTACTGCTTTTTACTGTGGTGCCAGCAAAACACAATTCAGCAAAATAGAATGCCTCGAACCACAGCCTGAGTCAGTCTAATTCCTATGCTCTGCCAAGTGTAGATCAGCTATTCCCTTGCAATTTCCTTCTCTGTCATTTGAGGCCTAGGAATTTAATGGAAGAGGAATGTTCCTTCAGTTTCCTCCTTAGGGCACACCCAGCTGTACAGCTAGCAATAAGAGCTCACCCCAAGAGTAGTTTGGGTGTCTCCTATGGCCCTAATACCTCCCTCCCTCTGCGTGTTGTGTGTCAGCTGGTGGCTTGTGGGCAGCCTCTGGCCTGCGAGGAATTAACACATGGTTTGTAGATTCCTGTCCAGCTGCCACTTCCACCATTGCTCCTGCTGCTGCAGTGGTGAGGGGCAGAACAGCACAGTGGGAGATGGCCTGTTTAGTCTGCTGCCACTGGAGTCCAGCAGGGGGAATAGGGGCTTGCACTCCCCAAATGTCAGAGGAGTTGTGGTGGTCTTGTGCTGGGTCCTGGGGGACCCAATGACATATGCCCCATACAGTGTGCAGCCAGGGCCCAGGAGCTGTGCAGTGTATGGCCCTTGGCTGCTCAGAAGTGGGGCAGCCCTACTCTGCATCATCAGTTTGGAGGCTTCTCCTCAGCAAAGGTACCTTGCAGTCTGGTATTTTCCCTGTCTAATGTCCTTCTTTTTCTACCACTGAATTAGGGAAATCTCACACTTCAGTCTGTACTTCTCATAAAACCCTCTCCATCCCAGCAGGCACCCAGTCTGGAGGAGGGGAAAATGCCCTGATGAAAGGAGATCTTACAAAGTGCTACTGATAAAACGTTGGTCATTGAGGACAGAGGCAACTAAATAAGGAGTAATCTCACTGGAATTCATGAACCATATCTGCAGAGGGCATCAACACACACAGAATACAAGGGGGAAAACAAAGAGGGACATTTTACCTCTAGGAGAGTCTAGAAAAAGGTAGAAAATTTCAGCAGTATACCATTTGTGTTGAAGTAGACTCCCATGACAGAGAAAGTAAATTTATATGTAAGCAACTGATCATTGTTAATATTACAATGTTTTACTGGCTCCGAGTAAGAACAACTGAAATGTCTACAAAAGCAGTATCTAAAAGCCAACAGAAAGGAAGCTTCTTCCAATAAAAGTCACAAGAACACAAAGCTATACATTGTAGGTTTATCTGAGAAATCTTTCAGGAATAAATGAACAAAGCTGCCAGGCCTACCTTTGCTGTTGGACTGTATACGTTATATTTCCTTTGTGAAAAGTAGGTGGATCCCACTTCAACTTGCTATGAAAGTTAACCGAATTAATTCTTACATTTTTTAGTTCTGGCACCATCGCAAACGCTATACAAACAGACAAACAGGTTAGCATGTGTTCCTCAAATTGTTTTACACTAACTTGATGCATTTAAACAATCCCCACCAAAAATTAAATTTGCACAGAATGCAACCCAACAGTTCAATCAATTTCTTAATGCCTATCTTCTTTTTGAACCTATGCAAGGTAGTCAATTCCTAAAACTATCCTGGGATTGTAAGTGGCACATGAATGTTTTTGGCGTTTGAACATGTGAATCTTGTGTGTAATATGTACACTCCTAGTGCACCTGCACAAGACAGAGTCTAAATCTGAAAACAGGAAATCTACTTAGAGTGTACAGAGTTTACAGAATCGTTTCCTCAAATGTGACCTCTTCCTGTACCTATCAAGTCTCAATTAGAATGCATTAGAATGTCATTCTCCCCTTGTACTTGGCCTTGGTAAGGCCGCAGCTGGAGTATTGCATCCAGTTTTGGGCTCCGCAATTCAAAAAGGACGTGGAGAAGCTTGAGAGGGTGCAGAGGAGAGCCACACTCATGATCAGAGGGCAGGAAAACAGACTTTATGATGAGCAGCTGAGAGCAATAGGGCTATTCAGCCTGGAAAAGCGCAGGCTCAGGGACTTGCGTGGCCATCTATAAGCTTATTGGTGTGCTCATCAGGATCTGGGGGAACAACTGTTCACCAGAGCACCCCAAGGGATGACAAGATTGAACAGTCACAAACTCCACTGTGACCGGTTCAGGCTGGGCATAAGAAAGAACTTCTTCACTGTTTGAGCCCCCAAGGTTTGGAACAGACTGCCACCTGAGGCGGCTCAAGCACACACTTTGAATGCCTTTAATACACATTTGGATGCTTATCTTGCTAGGATCCTATGACCCCAGCTGACTTCCTGCCCCTGGGGCGGAGGGCTGGACTCGATGATCCTCCGGGGTCCCTTCCAGCCCAAATGTCTATGAAATCTATGAAACCAAACTCAAAATGAAAGAGAAGTTACTTCCCTTGCCTTAACTGGAGCTCTTTGAGATCCCTTTCCACCTGCATATCCCACTGTGAGTGCTTTTGTGCCCCAAGCTCAGAAACATTATCCCTTACAGTACCCATGTGATCTCCATGCATATTGCTTTCCTTTCTCTATGGTGTCCAGGGTATAAAAGGTGAAACATGCCTACTACACAACTCAGTTTCCTTTCAGCTACAGAATCCCAGGTATTCTCCCAGGAAGAAGAGAGGGAGAGCAGAACGTGCATGTGGACAACACATCTTAAAGTCCCATTTACTGTAAGGTAAGTAATGGCTCTTTCTCCTTCCAGTAATTATCTATATCTGTGTTTCTCAACCTTTTTAGACTCAAGGAACCCCTCAGAAAATGCCTGTTCTCAGCCTTCACTCTTTTTTTACTATAGAAAAATAATAGAGCAATTCTTTTGTTGCAAAGAACTCAGAAAGGCCACACCAGGTTAGACTGCTTTGACACTGTGGATTCCTATTTCTATGATCCTATGAAATCTCTGGATTTATCTTGTGAATCATGCAGGAGGAAATCCAGAGTGGATGCAGTGTCACAGTTGCACCCTCCTTTCAGATCATATGAACAACAGCTGGGGACTTTTTTTTTTTTAAGTTCCTGTTTCAGGTAAGAATCACCCCTCCCCCCGCTTCCCTTCCCTGCACAGCAGCATGTCCCCACTCTCAGCAAGTGCATTCATAGTGTCGGATGAAGTAGACTGTCATCTACGAATACTTATGCTTCTGAATGAGTTAGTCTCTAAGGTGCCAAACTGCCCTGCCTTCTGCCCTCTTCCAAGATTATAAAATAACCATAGAAGAACCCTCTTTTCCAATACTGATGGCTATTTCACTCATCACCATTAAAAGAGGTAAAAGGACCTTGGGAGAAGGGTCCCTGAAGCAGAATGAAGAAAGGAGGATACAACTAGGCAAGAAGAAGAAATAGACAAATGCTTCCAACTAGGTATATCAGCTCAGATTCACTGGTCCATAGTACTATGGAGCAATTTGTGACTGAAGTGGTGGTTCCTGAGGGAAGACACAATCAGATCTGAAATCCTGAGTTGGTTTGAATTTCCTGATCATCCTGTTAAAATGACTGCTTAATAACCTGAAGTGGGTTGAGATGACTGGGAAATCACAGTGGATTGCCTTAGTTTGGGGAAGCACTGTTGTGCCTTAGATTACTTGGAAGATCTGTGTGTGATGAAAGAAAGAAAACTGTGGGCCCCATCTTTGAAAGACTTAAAATCGCTACCCACTGTGTTTTCTCTTTAGGTACCAGGATGAAAACACCCAAGGAGCAGATTAAAACTCTGGATTGCTTCTGGGTATAAAGGGCATTTTTTATCTTGGCAGTAAACAATTCAGATGCTCAAGCTCCATCTACCTCTTTTTCAGGCCTGAGGAAGAGCACTCTGTGCTTGAAAGCCCGTCTAAAATCTCTCCCAACCATGCAGTTGGTCCAATAAAAGGTATCACCCTCTTCTCTGTCCTCAGAAATATCCTTGCCCTTACGTATTTCCTGGACCACTGCAACTGCAACATCACTCCAACATTACCACACTGAAAGAGAATGCCCATTACTATTCAGGATATGTACCCAATTTGGACTTGGAATGGTGACTTTCCTCTTTACCAAACAGGCAAAAGTCCCATTGATTTTAGAGGGGCTAGGATTTCACCCAGGGTCACCTATGTTTCCTGGTAAGTTAATGAGTAACCAGAGTTCAGAACTACTGCGCTTTGTCTCCAGCTAGCTGTGTTGTACAAGCTGTCTTGTGCTCAGCCCCTAGAGATATGAAGGTATAGACTGCCCATGCTCTACCACCTCTTTGACCACCACAATAGTCAAGAGTGGCATTGACTGGCATCAGAAGTAACATCCAGTCTATGTGTCCACAGATACTTGGGCTGTGCTGGTTAGTGATTTCCTAGTACTGAATTTCAGCAATAACATAGCTATGCTAGTGTTTACAAAGTACAGGAGCTCTAACATTGACCTTACACCATCTCTAACTGAAAAAAACAGGCAATGAATTTCCTAGTATACACAATCTTGCAAAATAACTGATTGCAGGCCATGTGATGAAACATTGCTGAAACAATCTGACTGGCGGAAGAGAATGTCACTGAACCTCAGTTTGCTGAGCAGGGCTAAATAACACGTACACTCACCATTACATCATAAATACAGGTTACATGTAAAGAAAAAGTGGATTTATGCCCTTCTCTTTTTTTATGATGCATCAAGAAACCTAGGAAATTTTTTTTTAAGTTTCACTAGGCCTTTTTTTCCCTTTACATATTTTAAAATTAGATCTTGTCTACTTGACTGGAAAAAAAACAAAGAAATGAAATAATGTTGATCAAAGGAGGTCAGTTCTGGTTATTCATATTAGCTTACCAGGAAATGTAGGTTACCATGTGTGAAATCCTAGCCCAGCTAAAGTAGAGAAGCCAAGGAACCATTCAGAGGGAAGGGATTTTTAGTCAGGCTACTTAAACTTTTCATTTCTTGCTACTATTTGACTGGAATCCCTGGTGAACACTCTCTCACCCAATGTTTTCATTTACATGGGGAGAGAGAACAACAACCACCTGTAAGTCCTCCGGCACAACAAAACTTGACACATCCTTTATTTGGAAAA